TGTGAGGACTACAGTTGGGGAAGACCAAGTCTCTGCACTCAACGTGCTTTATCCATGGACCGTGACCACAGCCTAGGGCAGGACTCAAGTCCAAAGTGAGAGGCCCAAGAAGTACACTGCATGTGTGTTAGGGGACCGTGGCATTCGGAGGGCTGCCAGGCGCTGCAAGGTTGAAGGAAAAACTTACAACTTTCTTTTTTTCCTGTGTCCTGCTGCACATGGCAGATGCCTATAACACCTTGGGCATGAACACCCTGCCCAAGGGAATATACGAAGCCACATGCAGAGCTAACACATCTCTGAGAACATCCGTTCTAGTTGATAGTAAATGACTGAAAGTAATTTTATATTAAGCTAAAAAAAGTACCATGGAGCAGAAATGAAATTAATTAAAATTATACAGTGTGACTGAAAAAATACAGTGAATGTTTAAAAATTTTTAAAAATGTATTACAGCAAAAGATATAGTGCCATTAAATTCCCCTGACTTCAAATACTTATCCCACTGTGTCACTTTTTGAAGCAGTTTGGAAGTCCACTGTGGAAGCTGCCTTGTCCTGAATAGATTAAAAATGTTTACCATTCATGGTCATTTTGACTTTGGGCAAGAGCCAGAAGTCCCACAGTGCCAGATCCAGTGAAGGAGGTGGATGAGGACATTCTGTAATGGTTTTATGAGCCTGCCCTTCTGTAAGATGGCAGGCAGTAGCATTCACTGTATTTTTTTTTAAAAACACCTTGTAGAGGCACAAAAGAGGACTTACAGGATCACTTCAGAAAGTAGCAAGAATGATGGGGCATATTCAAGCTGAGGGCGAGTCTTTTTTGAGTAGTCTTAATGGCAAGGTTTCTCACTGTAGTAAGTTTTACACACACATACTGTATTTAATCAGCCATTGTATTTAAAGATTAAAAATCACTTCAAAGAAAGATCCTATTTGTTGCTGGTCAATTTGGGGCATATACTTGGACCTTACAGCACAGTTTTCTTCTCCCTCTCCCAGGAAGTCTTCAAAGGTGGGAGGAAGATTTCCTGGTCTACACATTCACCAGGCACTATGTTACAGATTCTCCTCTACTGCTCCCTTAAATACTGTACCTAAAAATGCTAGGGTAAGGGGGACTCCACTAACACCCTAATCCACACAAACCAAGCTCAGCTGCACAGAATTCACTGTAATCTCAAATCCCAAATTTGTTGTCAATATTTTAATTAGATAATCATCTTGGGCTGTTAAGCCAAATGTTAAACTACCAAGTAGTACCAGTAGTTAAACTTAATCAGCAATTTTATATACATATACATATATATATATCTTGATCAGCAATTATAGCCAAACTAGTCTCTCAGTTTGCAGCTGGTTTTATTTCTTGCTCAGTAGGGTAGGTTGCAGTGTGGTACAAGACTCTTTACAAACAGGACGGATGGCCTCCTCACAGAAACTCTAAATCTCTAAATGAACAAGATTAGAGTATTCCTAGTATAAGAGCAAAGAGAGAACACCTCCATCCAATTATTTTCTATGTAGCTAGGAGTTTCCTCGAGTGCTAAATTACTCCAGGGAAGCTAGTCTCCCATGGCCAACCAGAGTGGCAAGGCCTAGCAACATTGGTAATACCTTGCCTTTATATTTATTCAGGATCAAAACTGTGTGTCTTTGCTTCTATCACATTTTTTGGAAGTTCATCTTCAACTGAGACATTGTTTCTAAATGTATACAATCAGGAGACTTGGCTTTGGGGGTTGCCAGATCCCTCCCTGTCTCCTTGCTGCTGGCATCTCTTATGGCCTTGTCATGAGGCACACTGTCTGCCCTGGTTCTTCTGCAGTCCAGCCAGACAGTTCCCGTCATTGTAAGTACTTCCTCTGTCAGAGCAGACACACTAACTGAAGCCACAGCCGGAAGCAGGCTGACCACAAGCTCTAGGGTTCTGCTTAGTTCTTTTCTAGGTAAAGTTGGAAAAGTCCCTGCAAAGGCAAACACTGGAGCTTTAGAAATGGGGGAGGCACTGACTGGCCTCTTCAAATGTTCTTGCCTGGTAAGAGGTAGGGTGTAGGCGTGTGTGTGTGTGTGTGTGTGTGAGAGAGAGAGAGAGAGAGAGAGAGACAGAGACAGAGAAACAGGGAGAAAGCTGGATTGTATGATGCAGATGTTCATCATTCTGAGAATCAGGATTTTTGTCCCCAGGTTGTTGAAGAGGTTGTTCCAAGAAAGACTCCTGAACATCCATCAACTCCTCAGAGAAAGAATGCTCATGTAGAGAATTCTGCTTATCACTTAAATAGGGGAATACTGACTGCTGTGCTGTTCGTTCCTTTACAGCCAGATGAGACACTGAGGTGCTTTTTTTTTTTAAGGTGGGGGGCTTGAAGGTCATAGGAGAGAGAACAGATTCTGGAAGAATGGGGCAGCTGCTTGTTCTTGAATAATCTCCCGGTGGGAGATTCTAGAGGCAGACTGACCTTTTAGCTCAAATGGAAGCTGCATTTTGACTTCCACTACCAAGCAGGAGTGAGAGGAATGACTAGAAGAGGGCACTCAAACCCCCACATATTCAGACCCTCAGAGATGCCCAATGGAGGAGAACTGAAGACAAAGAAATCCGTCGCAAAGGCAGGGATGAAGGACACTACGAAAACGCTGAATCACTTGTTCCTTGGGTGACCTAGTGTAATTATTTCCGTGAAAGAGAAAGAAAATAATTATCCTTTAGAGTTTATTTTTCTAAGATCCCAGCAGGAAAAACAAAAACATCTATTCCTCTGAGTGAAAAATTGTGACAATGATCTTGAACTATGCTCAATGACAATGAAACTTACAGTCCAAAGGCCCCTCAAAAGAATGGACCAAGTGAGATCAGTGGGTACCAGAAGCTCGGAGGGGAGGCAAGGATGAACAGGCAGAGCACAGAGGATGTTTTCAGGGCAGAGAAACCACCCTGTGTGGTACTGTAATAGTGAATGCACACCACATATACAATGTTTGTCTAAATCCATGGAATCTACAGCATCAACAGCAATCCCTAATGCAGCTTTGAACTATAAAACAGCACATCAATACTGGTCTATAAGTAGTGACATATAACACAAAACACTCACTATAGAGAAAACTGGAAGAAATGAGGTAGAAAAGGGGACAAGATTGCAGACTGTACTATGTGCTCCATTGTTTTTGTAAACCTAGAACTGATCTAAAAATTAAAAGTATTGATTTTAAAAAATGGATCTTATACTGGGAATTCATTGGCTATCTCCAAATTCAAGTACCCAAAATACAGATTCTACACATTTTCACAACAGCCCTGTGGCATTTGTGACAATAAAAAGAACACCTCCTGGATTCAGAGGTGAAGGAGAGTTTGAGGTGTGTACCCAGGACAGTGAAAGAATGAATGACTCACTTCATTTAGCTTCTGGTTTCCTTTTTTTTTTTCCTCTCTCTTAAAGAGATTACAAGATACTACACTGGGCGATTGCAGGGATCATATGGTTGTATATGTGTCCCATAAACTGGACCACATGCTCCAGAATTCTTATACATCAATAGTGCCACCTGCTCAAGGTCACAAGGCTAGCATTAAGGCAGCATGGCCACCTGGACATTAACTCCACTTTCAGGAGTTAATGTTGTAAAGTTAGTTTTTTATTTCTTTCTTTGGAATTAAATTTTCAGAGATACGGATTTCTCTTTTACCAGCCAAGCCACAGGAAGGTAGTCCAAGCTGCTCACAGTTGAGGTGTCAGCCTGATTCTGTTTTTGAGCTCTGAATGACATTACCATTTTAGTCCACATTATATAATCGTCAGCTGGGCTTTAATGACCAATTACCCTTTCCAGATTTACTTAATAGTTGTTCTTGGGTGTTATAGCATAACAAAGACAGGCTCGCACCATCAGGGAGCACCCCACCCATTTCTGATGAAATTCCTAGGATGAGCCAGCTGCAGCCATCACCTCAAGTCCTTCTGGGACCACAGGTCAAGTCCCCCTGGGCATTCAAAGGGAGATGGGAAAGCAGGACTCACCTCCTAGAGTGGCACAGCTGGACCCTGGGCACCTGGAGCTGCCACACTGATGAGACAGGGGAAGGGTGGAAGGTGGGACTGGACACCTGTGCTGGGCAGGGCCAGCCCACACGACACTCCTAACGAAGAACAATCAGGCCAACTCACCCTTCTCCCCAAACCAGCATCCAAGCTGGCTTATGACATTTTGCTTAGGCAACTTTTCCTGCATTTTCAACTAGCTAAGAAATTTATCAGACTGTCTGTCACCAGTGGCTATATATGGAGATATTAGCAATTTTCATTGGTTCTCTTCTATTTTCTGGATTCCACTAGTTTTAAACTTTGACCTGTTTCTAATTTTATCGTGTATATATTAACATTAATATATATAATATAT